GTTTTAAAATGTATTTTTTACAGCTTTTAGTTTTTAATGTTAATTTACAAAATGGTGACGCAACGCTTAACAATGGCCTCTACCAAATGGTCAAATGGCTAAATGTCTGGCTCACTGCTGCCAACTAGTGGTCAGAGGCTGAACTACAACATAAAAATGAACGGCTGGCAGGAAAGTTGACATTTTAAACCTTAATAAAAAATCRRHWCRGRRCTTTAGAATATCGATACAGTATCGGGAAATGAAATATCGCGATATTTCAGTGTATCGATATTTTCTTACACCCCTAGATCCCAGTCCCACACCGCAGCAGAAACTCGCAGCGCTGCGAGTCACTTGTTCCTTATCTTCAACTATTTAATAAATGTTTTTCTAAGTTCTACCAAACTCATCAGTTCCTCTGTGTTTACATTTATTAAAGATGTGTAAAGGTGGAAATGTCTGTCAGCCTCATGCGCTGCTGTAAACAGCAGCACACACACGTACACACCAACACACACACACACCTTCGCGAATGGCAAACTCATTTTTACACACTACTACTTATTTAGACAGTTTTCTCACTCATTCTCCATTTAGTGTATAATTTTCCTGCATCTAAAAATAATTTCTGATCCCACAGAGAGGACAACCTGAGGAGAATCTCACACGCTGGACACATTTATATCTAGGGAGGTTTCTCACGTGTGCTAAGTTCCACGTTCATTGGGATTTATAAAGGAAAAGTGCGCAGGAACCTGCATGCACACAGTTTTGTACATCTGAATATTTTGGTGCGGCGCACTTTTCTAAATTTGTCCGTACGTCAACTTTTAGTGTGAAAGCTGCGCGATCCTTTGCGCATGAGGCCCCAGCTGATGGAAAGTTTCTTTTCAGGTACACAGGTTGAGATCTAATTTAGAACTTAGATGAACTCAAAGTAAACGTGTTTGCTGCTTTAAACTCCCCCTGAACAACAGTAAGTGACAGAGTACCTACCTGGCAGGTGGTGAAAGGCTTGATGCTCCAGAGTAACCGTGGGACGTCCTGGATGGACACCTGGAGGCTGAAGGTGTTCCCCCTGAACAGCATCATTTTAGGTTCTTCCAGCAGCCGCCCTCCTCTGCTGCGTTCACCCACAGCCACCTCCTGAGAAGAAAAGGTACAGCTTGGTTGAGGTCAATACAGGTCATGATTCTTTGCGTCAGGAAACATTGCTAAGATTTTACAGCTCTGGGGAGGGTGTGTGATAATGTTCTGCCTAAATGTGCGCTCGTAAACTTTCAAAAGTTAATCATTGAATGACCAACCACAAGTGGCTTTTTTGGCTTTCAATGTCAACCCAGTTCACAGTGATTACATCTTAGACAAAACAAAAATGACTATGATTCAGTTTTACAGACATTGTGCTAAAGTTGGGTGTTGTACTAGCTGTTGAATTGGGTCAGCTCTTTCAAATGAGCTGAAAACAAAGATTGTTCACCGTCATGGTTTAGGGGAAGGATACAGAAAGCTATCTCAGAGATTTCAGCTTTCAGTCTCCACTGTGAGAAA